TGGTGTAAGAACAAGGGTAATAAATGCATAAGTAGAGAAGAGTAAGAAACGCTTAAGTAGAAAACCTCGTGTTTGCCTGTAAGCATGAGAGATCACTTGAGCACCAGTGGTCAAGATGGTGATATTAGGTCAAGATGGTGATATTAATAAACTGATGATCATATTAGAGAATATTTTTTGCAGGTGTAATTTTGGCAAAAAAAAAGAAGATAAGGACAAAATGATAACACCTAAGTACAAAACCAGGCTAAAAAAAAGAAGGATGTTGCATTGGCCGGGAATCGAACCCGGGCCTCCCGCGTGGCAGGCGAGAATTCTACCACTGAACCACCAATGCACACAAAATTGCACCTGTCCGCGTGCAACTTTACGTGTGAAAGATAGGTGGTGGTGGTATGAAATGGAGGGGAAAAATGTTCTTACGCCCAACGTGGGGCTCGAACCCACGACCCTGAGATTAAGAGTCTCATGCTCTACCGACTGAGCTAGCCGGGCTGACGGCAACAGAACCAGCACCTGTTTTGAAGGACATCCTTCCCCCACCATATGTCAGACCACCTAATGAATTTAGTAAAATACATGCTTTTGGTAGTAAAGAGAACAACTAAGCTACCAAACTGAAAAACTGCATAATCCATTCAGTATCTGGAGCACTGAACAATGAAATGACAGTGAATGCAAAGGTAAAATTACCAGAAGGTTAAAAAGACAATGCCCCGTGTGAGGCTCGAACTCACGACCTTCAGATTATGAGACTGACGCGCTGCCTACTGCGCCAACGAGGCCTGTAGACCATGGAAACCAGGTCCCTTTTTGACCGCGTCACAGCTACGGTCACACAACTTACGTATGGTAAATACGGTACGGAAGGAGACAAGCCCTTTCGCTTATTTACCTGCTTTAGCTAAGACTACCTTTTACTTATTTTTACCTACACTTTTGTCGGGGGACGCTGTTCAAATTAAAGTGATAATGACCCACAGAAATAACGACAAACAAGCCTTATTGGATGTAACTGGTGGGGAACATCAATATGTTTGTAACTAATTTTTGGTTTTTTAAATTTGTCCTTTACCTAAACACTGACTAACCACGTACTGACATCAGATTATTCCTCTGAGCCCTGCGTGAAAAGGCCTCCTACAACCATCGAAGGACGAGCCTGTAAACAGAAAAGTGGAACTATATATTATTTTAATTTGCTGCAGTTGCGCCATAGTTAAAGACCTCACTCCCATCAACGGCAGGTGTTACGACTCCATATCTGTGACTCCTTTTTGTTAGCCTTTGCTGAAAAGTTCCGTCCATGTTTATTTAAAAACAACTGAAAACCATAAACTGACCGAATTGTCCCAAAAAAAAGCATCCACGGCCGCTGCAGGAAGCGGAACAATCATGGCGGACACCTCCCCGACACCGAGGCGCCTTCAATTAACGAAAAATAAACGACAACCTGTTCACATACCTGCTAAACATATTTAAAAAAAAAAAACCTTAATACAGTCAGTGAGTTTAGATAAAATATGATTCTTACCAAACTCTTCATCGTGCCTTCTTACCTCGGTACACGTCATCCAGCGGCGCCGCTATGCTAATCTTTCCGAGCACAGCTAGCTTGAACACCGTTTTCCATATGAACTCTTGATTGTTCGCTTCAAATCGGGTTTTCCTGACTGTGTCCACGTTAAATCACATTTAAAAAGAATGCAGGGGAAACAGAAATGTGGAATTCAGTGGAAGGTGCACCTCGCTCGTTAAGTTCGCCATCATCCCTCTTTTTTTGACCTGTGGAGGGGAGACCTTTCCAGTGCCCCCGAGGTCATCAACTTCGGCGACACTGATTGGCCATGTTTATTCATTTGTCCTTGCACTCT